ATACTTTTCCCACTATGGCTAGTAAACCACCAGAGTTTATCCACAGATGAAGCTATGAATGTACATAAAATCAAGGCTTTATATAAAAAATACTTGCAGGTGAAAGGATAAGACACGCTCATCTTCATTCCACGTAAAATTGCAGTGAGTGTTCCCTCTGAGTATCTCTATAAACCCATTCAGATTCACAAGCCAATGAACTGAACTACTCTATTTAAAGCCTAAGAAGGTAATTCTTTTCTGTGGTTTATTCCACTCATGGAACGTTTATGCAGTTCACTGCAGGATGACTTTTTAATAGAAAGCTACAGTCCTCATGAGCCAAGACTGTCACATGGCTAGAAATGAGTAGCAAAGTGTAGGCGGACTTCCAGTTGTGTGGAAAGTGGCAAATGGTGCCAAACTCTACAAGCACAGGCTACATTGGTGCAGGGGAGGGATCTTTTCGTCTGTGCCCTATGAAGAGAAAATTTCATCTTTTTTAGCACACCTGGGCATCTGAGGGACATTCAGCACCAGCTGTGTCATTCTCCAATCAAAAAGTAGTATGACATTTAATAAAAGCAATAATTAATATTGAACAAATAGAATCTTTTGGGTAAATGTAATTATTTGCGTGATGTAAGGATAATTATCTTAATTATCTCTTAAATGCTTTGACTTATTCTAAAACACTGTGACCTTTTCTATTAAACCATGTCTTACCAAACTACAGAAACACTCCCTGGAGGGCTCCTTGACAGAGACCGAGAGCAACTACTGTGCGCAGCTGGCGCAGATCCAGGCTCAGATCGGGGCCCTGGAGGAGCAGCTGCACCAGGTCAGAACCGAGACCGAGGGCCAGAAGCTGGAGTATGAGCAGCTCCTCGACGTTAAGGTCCACTTGGAAAAAGAAATTGAGACCTACTGCCGCCTGATAGATGGAGACGGAAAGTAAGTAAAGTCATTTGAAAATCCAGTTTTTACTTCTTTTAAGCTACAAACATGGGCTGCCCATTAGCCTTCCATACTTCCAAGCCCTTTCTTTTTCATTCCCACTGCAGCAAAGCATGTCCATCTCTTGCTTTTTCCAAAGAGAGTCATCTCTTCCAAATCTTGTACATCACAGTGTTCTCCTCTGCCTTAGATGACTGGAACTGTTCCTGTAGCCATTTCCATCTGTTGTCCATGTTAATCACTGTGGGTTTCAAGATTCTCTCCACCTCTCACTAGCAGGCTTTATCCTTCTTTCAGTGCATACCTAATATCACTGCTGCCCTGAAATAAATGTACTCTGAACAAACCACCTGGATCCATATATATGTATGTATGTCCTTAAGTTTTAAATTTTTGGGTGTAAAAAAAAAATCAGATGGAAACAAGATTTATTTATACTCTCTCTTTAGATAACATTTAATTACTTTCAACTCCTACTCATAAAAATCTTAAGAGTTTCCTCTATAGAAAACTAAGACCTGTTTTTGGCATACAAATTTCACTTGAGTTCATTGAGCCAATGAATATTTCTTAACTGATAGTAAGCAGAAATATAAAAGAATAAATTATATTTCTTTTACAGTTCATGCTCCAAATCAAAGGGCTTTGGATCAGGAAGCTCTGGGAATTCATCTAAAGGTAATAAAATCTAGTTCTACTTTTTTTTTTTTTTGAGAGAGAGTCTCGTTCTGTTGCCCAGGCTGGAGGGCAATGGTGCAAACTCAGCTCACTGCAACCTCCACCTCCTGGGTTCAAGTGATTCTCCTGCCTTAGCCTCCTGAGCAGCTGGGATTACAAGCACCCACCACCATGCCCGGCTAGTTTTTTATATTTTTAATAGAGACAGAGTTTCACCATGTTGGCCAGGCTGGTCTCAAACTCCTGACCTCAAGTGATCTGCCCACCTTGGCCTCCCAAAGTGCTAGGATTACAGGCGTGAGCCTCCACACCAGCCCTCTAGTTCTATTTCTATCAGAGCAATACTTTTACGTTAATGGTAGTCACACACTACAACCGTAGTCAATATTTAAGTAACTTTAACTAAACTGTTCTGAATGGGAAGTATTAAGTGCCTAAAACTATCCCAAGCTATTATTATAAATATACACTTACTCCCTCAATCAAAAATATGCATAATATATTATATTGAAATAGCAGTGGAATTGTCACGTAATCTTTTTGGTTGAATATATGTATTCTTATGTTTTATTTCTAGATTTATCCAAAACCACACTGGTAAAGACAGTGGTTGAAGAGATAGATCAGCGTGGTAAAGTTCTTTCATCAAGGATTCACTCCATTGAAGAAAAGACATCTAAAATGACCAATGGCAAGACAGAACAAAGGGTTCCTTTCTAGCTGTCATTTTAGATAAAAGAATAATTTGGGAAAGGATCCTATACAATTGTGTTATTCTAAATATCAGAGAGAATATACACACTTTTTACTTTTAAAGATAAGTTACTTAGCAAAAATATCTGTTTTCTTAGTTTTACAGGATGTTGGGTGTTTGTTTCCAATAAATAAAAAAGTTGATGTGCATTCATTTCCATTCACTGATGACTAATAAATAATTATTTGTGATTTTTTTCTCTGTCTAATTCATAGAGAAACATTTGTGGAATATATTTTAATTGCCTTTCACTGTTCTTTTAAATAATAGTCAATACTGCCACATGGCATTTGAATATTAAACATTCACTAGGCATAATCTTTAAATCACACCATGTCTATGTGGGCAAATAATCAAAAAATTCAGAAATTCTCCTGTGACTGAAAAGTCTCACCACTAGATGACGCATTCCTGGTATTTTACCAAGAGCCTCTCTCAAACTCTTCTTTTCACAATACCCAGGATATCATTCCTCGTCTAAACAGGATAATCTCCAGAAAACTCCACAGCAATACGGCTTGTGTCAGTGACACTTTTCCTAGAACAGGGATCAGAAGCTTTTTTTGTGAAGACTCAGATAGTAAATATTTTAGGCATGGCAGGCCATACAGTCTCTATTTCAACTACAAACCTCAGCCATAGACAATAAATGAATGAATGAACATGACTGTGTTCCAACAACAAAACTTAATTTATTAATGCTGAAATTTGAACTGTAAATATTTTTACCTGTCATGGAATATTATTCTTAACTTTTTTCAACCATTTAAAAATGTAAAACCATTCCTAGCTCACAGTCTGTACAAAAACACATAGCAGGCCAAATTTAACCCACCAACACCTGTTCTCAAATGTGAAGCCCCATGAGGCTGATGAACATCATGATTCTTGTGATTATGACTATTTATACCTTTCTGGATCAAAATGTATGGTAGGAATTCCCAACAAGTATTAAACTGCCTAAATGGAAAGCAGCTCCTTTATTTCTCTGGTATATGGCCTGATTCCAGTGAAAATCTCCAGCAAGAGAAGGAATTCTGTCTCATAACCCTCCAGTCACATGAGATTCAGAGAAGTGGTGAAAAATGAGATATTCACAAAATCTTCAGCCAAAAGCCATCAAATGAAGCAAATACTAGAAATTCACAGAGAAATAATTTCCAAATGTACAATGTTCAGGGCCAGCTACATAATTTTCAGGACCTAGTGCCAAAGGAAATCATGGGATTCCTTATTCAACAATCAGGCAAAATGTATCACCCAAAGGCACTAAAATATCAAGCTGTTTCCTTGCATCCACATTTATGTTTTCAACTTGTCCTGGATTTTGTTGTTTTGATTTGGGGTTTTCTGTTGTTGTTGTTTTCTTTCTTTCTTTTTTTTTTTTTTTTTTTTTTTTTTGCTATTTAGTTTTGTTCTAAGTAAAGTATATTAGTCCGTTCTCACACTGCTATAAAGAAACTACCTGAGACTGGGTAATTTATAAAGAAAAGAGGTTTAATTGACTCATAGTTCCATATGGCTGGGGAGGCCTCAGTAAACTTACAGTCATGGCAGAAGGTGAAGGGAAGCAAAGACCTTCTTCACATAGCGGCAGGAAACAGAGTGTATGAGGGCGCAAGAAAAACTACCATTTATAAAACCATCAGATCTCGTGAGAATTCACACTATCTCAGAGAACACCATGGGGAAACCACCCCCACAATCCAATCACTTTCCTCTCTTGACACGTGGGGATTACAATTCAAGGTGAGATTTGGGTGGGGGCACAGAGCCAAACCATATCATAAAGAAAAATTAAAATTTTAAGTTATTGGCATAAATATTACCATTCGTTTTATATTGAAATCCAAGCATAAGAACATTTAACTTGTATACAGAATCCCCAAGATCACACAATTCATAATTTGTAGCTCATACATGTATATGTATATTGTTCCTATCAAAACAGTGGAAACACTGCACAAAACAAACTCAAAGTGTTTTTATTCACTTCTGTATATACCCACCTTCTACCAGCATTCTCTACCTTTGGTTTACCAATGAGTAAGGAGACTAAAAGGAAAAGGAACTATGGGTTGTTTGACCTTTCTATATCATCATTTTCCACTTAAGCAGTTGGCAACACAGGCAAGCAGGAAAGCAGCACAAAAAACTATATGATAGTCCAGGCGTGGTGGCTCACTCTTTTAATCCCTGGGAGTCCAAGGTGGGTGGATTACCTGAGGTCAGGAGTTCGAGACCAGCAAGGTCAACATGGAGAAACCCCATTTCTACTAAAAATACAAAAATTAGCTGGGCTTGGTGGCACATGCCTGTAATCCCAGCTACTCAGGAGGCTGAGGCACGAGAATCACTTGAACCCAGGAGGTGGCGGCTGCAGTGAGCCAAGATGGCGCCACTGCACTTCAGACTGGATGACACAGCAAGATGCTGTTTCAAAAAAAAAAAGTACATGATAGAGTTCCTTGGTCATTCACATTTTTTTAGAAGACCAGTGTCTTCTTTCTATACTCAGAGAGCAAGTTCTGGTTTGAATGGAAAGCCTGGTTTCTTGGGTTCGATAGAAATTGGGATTACTCAGTCATAGACACAATATACTTACCTTGTAGTTGCTTTGGGTTTTGTTAGACTCCTGCACATTGTGGATCCACCAGAATGTTGGGCACACGGGCATATGCCCCTGAGACAGTAAGGAGCACCTGCAGGCAAACATATTTGGTGTACTTCTCTGCTCACTTGTATGCCCCATAGTCCCATCAGAATTCATTAACAAGAGACAGGCTAAAAAGACAAAGTTCTGCTACCATCTTGAAACTAAGATTTTCAAGATGGTAATGGGAGAGCATTAATCCAAATGTGGGGCCTTTCTGAACATGAGACCTTGTGCAACTGCACAGGCTTTATGCCCATGATGCCAGATCTGCTTATCAGGTATGCTCATGACACATTGATTTTTCTTTTTAACTGTCTTCATGGTGGCCTACTTTCCAAGGCAAGGCCCATTACAGCACAGAAAGTGCACACTACACTTTGTGGTGAGGGGACTGTTGACTTGAAAAGATAACTATAAATTCACCGCTTCTTGTTGAAAAAAATAAACCAGAATTCCCTGTGCATCTATTCAGCAAAGGAATGGGAGTAAAATTAAATTCTGGATAAGCTTCCTTTAAGTTCTGTTGAGTCCACAGGATGGAAGGAAACATCCTGCCCTCAGTCTTTTGGGTCTTAAATCTGTCCTTCCTTCCTAGGCGTGTAAAAATTGACTATGGTCTTTGGTTCACTGTTTTCCTTTGCTGGGCAGAATTCTAGGGCTCCTGAGTTCTTTACGCATTCTGCTAATGGTTACTTGTTCTTCTCCAGTCCTTGAAGCTTCACCTTGCTTTTTGCTGAAGTGGGTTTCTACACTGAAAGTACTTCCCAAAAATCAGTCTCCATCTGAAGGAAAAGGAATGCAACCACTGTACTTGAGTGGTTGTTAAAGCAAAAACTACATGCTGCTATTCCTTCTTTTAACAAAAACCCAAGATTTATGGGAGCTTTTTGCAAGGGAAATAAATTGCCACTTGTTACCGGCTGTAGCAAATGTTTGGACATTTCTATTTTTCTTTTGATTTTTGTCATCATATAGGAATGTATAATTCATTGTCATATTTATAAAAATTTCCATCTTAGGTTCTGAGTTTTACAACTGCTGGGACCCACGTTTTCTTCTAGTACTTTTAAGGTGATCATATGGTTTCTGTCATAGGACACTTTTATCTGCTCCACATAATATTGAGTCATTCTCATTTCTGGTAAATAACTTCCTTGAGATATTTTACACTATTTAATATATTATTGAATTATATTTGCTAATATTTTATTTAAGATTATTTCCAGAATATGTCTTTCTTCTGGGGACTGATTCCCCTAAATTTCTCATTTTCTGTGATTGTACCTTAATTAGTTTTTTTTTCCTTTTATTTCTAATCATTTCCTAAGGTTTGTCACCTCATTTCTAAGTTTTTTTCTAATTCTGGTTTATGGGGATTTTTTTTCTTTTGTCATTTTTAGCGATTTTAAGTCACTTTGAAATGGTGGGTTGTATCTTACTCAGTTTTGTAGGCATTTCTTTCTGGTATGCTTTCATTTTCTATGGGGACACTATCAACTCCTCACCCTTATTATCTTGCATTCACATTTCTTGGGATTTTACTTCAATCCTTTTCTTTTGCTTGGTTTTATTGCCAATTCATGTTCCTTAACTTCTAGACTGAAGTATCATTCTAGGCTGGGCATGGTGGCTCACACCTGTAATCCCAACACTTTCAGAAGCCGAAGCAGGTGGATCATTTGAGGTCAAGAGTTGACCAGTGTGGCCAACATGGTGAAATCCCCTCTCCACTAAAAATACAAAAATAGCCAGGCGTGGTGGTGCACACCTGTAATCCCAGTTACCCGGGAGACTGAGGCAGGAGAATCACTTGAAACTAGGAGGCGAGGTTGCAGTGAGCCAAGACTGTGCCACTGCATTCCAGCCTGGGCAATAGAGTGAGACTTCATCTCAAAAAATAATAATAATAATAAAGTATAATTCCAAATAGCTTTACTAACTTCACAGAGTTCCCTTTTCTCTTGCTTTTATCTAGGATTCAAAAATACATTGGCTTGATTTCTGAAATTTCCTATCTTTTTTTCCCTCCCCCACTTGTATCTAGACCTTCTCTTTCCTTCCTGTCTATGACCCTCTCCTGAATAATTTTGATTCTTCCCCCAGCAGTTTCTCCTCGTCGTGGGTTGCTCTCCCAGGAGGGAACCATGGCTGGTCAGTTTTGAGAATTCACAGGATGTAGGCTGTTCCATTCCCTTCTGAATTCATGGAGGACCCCTAGTTTAGAGTTAAAGTTAGAACAATTTTCTAACTAGTTTAACCCTGTTTTCTCCGTATCTTTATCTCTCATGCCACTTTCTTACGCAATTAAAACTACCAAGCAATCATTTTCATCTATTCCCATGAAGACCTCACTTTCAGACTCTCCTGTCCTCCTACGCAATATGGGCTATCTGTTTTGTAAGCCTGCTACCCAGCTGTCATGTGGGAACACTCACTCAGTGCGCTCACATTGGAGCTCCATTTCCAGGAACCTAAGTTTTCCTTTTTCATGTTTTTCTCCCTCGCGGGTTCCCAACAAAATGTGCAAAGGAGATAACTTTTTTGAGACCTTTCACGTCTGAAAAGATTTTTATTCCACCCTCACTTGTGGTTGTGAAAGTAGAGAATTTTGCTTCTCTACATAAGTCACAATTAGAAAAAAAAAAAACTTAGAAACGAGGTGACAAACCTTAGGAAAGGATTAGAAATAAAAGGTTGGATATCATTTTGGGTTCACTTTTTTTTTTTTTTTTTTTTTTCCGTTTAAGAGACAGAGTCTCGTTCTGTCAGCCAGACTGGAGTACAGTGGTATGATCACAGCTCACTGCAACCTCCGCCTCCTGGGTTCAAGGATTCTCCTGCCTCAGCCTCCCAAATAACTGAGATTACGGGCATGCACCACCACACCCAGGTAATTTTTGTATTTTTAGTGGAGACGGGGTTTCACCATGTTGGCCAGGCTGGTTTTGAACTCCTGATCTCAAGTGATCCAGCCCCCTCGGCCTCCCAGAGTGCTGGGATTACAGGTGTGAGCTACTGCACCTGGGCTGGGTTCGTATTTTGAAAGCATTCTTCAATGGAACGATGGCTTTCCTAAAATTGAATATGTGTTGGCTTTGCTCCTGACATTTTAAGTGTTTGTTTTTCGCCCCTGCCCCCAGCCATGGTTCTCTGAAAGATCCTGTGGATGCGCCTCACTGTGGTTGTTTTTCATTTATCATTCATGTTTCTTGGTGGTCTCTTCGAATTTAGAAGCTCAGTTGTTTAGTTCTGAGTAGTATTTCAGAAAATATGATTATAAAATAATAAGTAGGTCTCTTTCCAGAAGACCTATTTGACGTTGTTCTTCTTTGACCAAGTCTCTCATTTTCTAATCTTTTCTTTTATCTGTGAACAAAAGTTCTCTGAGCAGAAAATTCAAGGACAGAGACTTCATTCCAGCAAACAGCTAGTAAGCTGGTGAGACACAGCCTTTGGTGTAAAATGAAAGTGTGTTCCAGAGAACAAAGGGAGGGAATTTGTCTTTTAGAGAAAGTTCCCACCCAGGTTCCCACTTAGGTCTGCTTATGCAAAATGCAGGATTGAAATTTACTTAGTTCTGATTGGTCGATGTTTGCTTACTTAGCTCTTATTAGTCAGGGCATGCAGACTTCTGATTGATCCATGTAGGTTACAGTCTATTATTTGGTTCAGGTAGCATAAACAGGAGGTTACTTGGTTTTAATTTGAATTTAGGCCCAGTTAGCTGCTCAGGACTCATCTTAAGAGACTGGCTCTTTACACCGGGCACGGTGGCTCACACCTGTAATCCCAGCACTTTGGGGGGCTGAGGTGGGCGGATCACTTGAGGTCAGGCGTTCAAGACCAGCCTGACCAACATGGTGAAACCCCATCTCTACTAAAAATACAAAAATTAGCCAGGCATGGTGGCACGTGCCTGTAATCCCAGCTACTTGGGAGGCTAAGGTAGGAGAATTGCTTGAACTCGGGAGGCAGAGTTTGCAGTGAGCTGAGATCGTACCACTGCACTCGAGCCTGGGTGACAGAGCAAGACTTAGTCTCAAAACAAAACAAAAAAAAGACAGAGAGAGAGAGATTGGGTCTTTCAAGGCTCACATATTTATCTTTTTATCTTTTTGTTCTAATTTTGGGGAGTTTTTTAAAAATTTATTTTCCAATTCATCTATTGAAGTTTTATTTTGGGAGTTAGTTTTTAATTCTAAGAGGTCTTTTATGTGCTTCCTGTTCAATTATAATGATGTTCTATCCATGTTTGAAATATACAGTATTTTTGTTACTTCTGAAAGTAATAATTACAGGTAGTTTCTTTTTTAAAGTTTTCTTCAATGTTCTTCATTATCTCTGTTTCCCCTGAGTACTATTTTCTGTTTGTTTGAGTCTCTGTCTTTCTTGCTGAAGTGTTCTTTAACGCATGGTGATATTTTAAAATATGTTCATTTTGAGTAAGACCTTAAACACTCGGAACTTTTGCGTGAAGTGTCCTTCCAGAGTGGTTGTATGGTGAGCTCCCTTTTGTGGAGAACACTCAAAATAAATTCTCATCTGGAGGTACTTTTCTCCTTAAGATTCTTCAAGCTTTCCTCAGAGAGACCTCAACAATTCGGGCCTGGCTACATAATTCAGGCCCTGTGCAAAAAGGGGTGAAAATGTGAGCTCCCTCTTGAAAAGTCAGAAAAAGCTTCAGCTTACGAATTTAAAACAGCCCAGCATGGTGCTCAAGCTCTAAGTCCGCCAGACCCTCTGGGAAGACCAAGGGTGGGTGTCTCGAGTCAAGTTCAGGAGTCGTGAGACCAGCCTGGGCCAACATGACGAAAACCGCATCTCTACTAAAAATGACAACAGAATTAGCCCACTCCAGGCCTGGTCGACAGAGCGAGACTCGCATTCTCATAAAAAAAAAAAAAAAACAGAAATACTAAAACATAACCTTTTCTTTAAAATGTCTTAATTATTCATCAACATGTAATGAGGTAAGGTGAGACATCATTTATAACTGCATAAACTAAAACAAGCAAAGAAAATAATGTTTGGTTCCTAGTCTTATTAAAAACAATAAACCCATAATACTGTTACTAATGGTATTAAATTGACTGACAATATCTTTCTGCTTTTTTTCTGCAGCTCATTTTTAAGTCATGAAAATTTCAATTTTTTGCCAACATTGATTTTCAATCTAGGTAATTGAAAGTGATGTCAATCATTCTCGGCAAATGCATCTCTCTCCACAACTAACAA